CAGGTGTATGTGTAAGTTAGCTGCCTGTGTAAGTCAGGTGTGTGTTTAAGTTATGTGTTAGTGTAAGTCAGATGTCTGCGTAAGTTATGTGTCTGTATAAGGTAGGTGTCGGTGTAAGGTAGGCATCTGTGTAAGATAGGTGTCTGTGTAAGGTAGGTGTCTGTGTAAGTGAGGTGTCTGTGTAAGGTAGGCGTCTGTGTAAGGTAGGTGTATGTGTAAGGTAGGCGTCTGTGTAAGGTAGGTGTATGTGTATGTCAGGTGTCTGTGTAAGTCAGGTGTATGTGTAAGTCAGGTGTATGTGTAAGTCAGGTGTCTGTGTGAGTTAGGTATATGTGTAAGTCAGGTGTCTGTGTAAGTCAGGTGTTTGTGTGAGTTAGGTGTATGTGTAAGTCAGGTGTCTGTGTAAGTCAGGTGACTGTGTAAGTCAGGTGTCTGTGTAAGCCAGGTGTGTGTAATTTAGATGTCTGTTTAAGTCAGGTGTATTTGTAAACCAGGTGTCTGTGTCAGTTAGGTGTCTGTGTAAGTCAGGTGTCTGTGTAAGTCAGGTGTCTGTGTAAGTTATGTGTCTGTGTAAGTCAGGTGTCGGTGTGAGCCATGTGTCTGTGTAAGTCAGATGTCTGTATAAGTTAAGTGTCTGTGTAAGTCAGGTGTAGGTGTAAGCCATGTGTCTGTGTAAGTCAGGTGCCTGTGTAAGTTAAGTGTCTGTGTAAGTCAGGTGCCTGTGTAAGTTAGGTGTCTGTGTAAGTTAGGTGTCTGTGTAAGTTAGGTGTCTGTGTAAGTCATGTGTCTGGGTAAGGTAGGTGTATGTGTAAGTCAGGTGTCGGTGTAAGTTAGGTGTCTGTATAAGTCAGGTGTCTGTGTAAGTCAGTTGTCTGTGTAAGCCAGGTGTGTGTAATTTAGATGTCTGTTTAAGTCAGGTGTCGGTGTAAGGTATGTGTATTTGTAATCTAGGTGTATGTGTCAGTTAGGTGTCTGTGTAAGTCAGACGTATGTGTAAGTTAGGTGTCAATGTAAGTTAGGTGTCGGTGTAAGGTATGTGTTTGTGTAAATCAGGTGTATGTGTAAGTCAGGTGTCGGTGTAAGGTAGGTGTCTGTGTAAGGTAGGTGTCTGTGTAAGTCAGGTGTCTGTGTAAGTCAGGTGTATGTGTAAGTTAGCTGCCTGTGTAAGTCAGGTGTGTGTGTAAGTTATATGTTAGTGTAAGTCAGGTGTCTGCGTAAGTTATGTGTCTGTATAAGGTAGGTGTCGGTGTAAGGTAGGCATCTGTGTAAGATAGGTGTCTGTGTAAGTCAGGTGTCGGTGTAAGGTAGGTGTCTGTGTAAGGTAGGCGTCTGTGTAAGGTAGGTGTCTGTGTAAGGTAGGCGTCTTTGTAAGTTAGGTGTCTGTGTAAGTCAGGTGTCTGTGTAAGGTAGACGTCTGTGTAAGTTAGATGTATGTGTAAGGTAGATGTCTGTGTAAGTTTGACGTCTGTGTAAGTTAGGTGTCTGTGTAAGTCAGGTGTCGGTGTAAGCCATGTGTCTGTGTAAGTCAGGTGTCTGTATAAGTGAGGTGTCTGTGTAAGACTTGTGTCTATGTCCGAACATTCAGGTAAGACAGGTGCTTGTATCCAAACATTCAGATAAAACAGGTGTCTGTGTCCAAACATCTAGGTAAGACAGGTGACTGTGTAAGGTAAGTGTCTGTGAAAGTTAGGTGTCTGTGTAAGTTAGGTATCTGCGTAAGTCAGTTGTCTGTGTTTCAACATTCATGCAAGACATGTGTCTGTGTCCAAACATTCAGGTAAGAGACAGGTGCTTGTATCCAAACATTCAGGTAAAACAGGTGTCTGTGTCCAAACATCTAGGTAAGACAGGTGACTGTGTAAGTCATGTGTCTGTGTCTAAACATTCAGGTTAGACAGGTATCTGTGTAAGTCAAGTGTCTGTGTCCAAACATTCAGGTAAGATAGGGGTCCAAACATTTATTTTGCATTGATATTGATTTGTTTTGTCTTGTCTGTCGACGCTTCGTTATGATGCTGTGATATAGTTTATTTTGCATTGATGCTGGGCTATATTCGGTCCCCGTGTGTTGACGCTATGGTATATTTAGTCCCCGTGTGTTGACGCTATGGTATATTTGGTCTTGGTTCGTTGACGCTATGGTATATTTGGTCCCGGTTCGTTGACTCTATGGTATATTTGGTCCCGGTTCGTTGACGCTATGGTAAACTTAGTCCCCGTGTGGTAACGCTATGGTATATTTGGTCCCTGAGTGATAACGCTATGGTATATGTGGTCCCTGTGTGTTGACGCTATGGTATATGTGCTCCTCGTGTGTTGACGCTATGGTATATGTGGTCCCCGTGTGTTGACGCTATAGTATATTTTGTCCCCGTGTGTTGACGCTATGGTATATGTGCTCCTCGTGTGTTAACGCTATGGTATATTTGGCCCCTGTGTGTTAACGCTATGGTATATGTGCTCCTCGTGTGTTGACGCTATGGTATATGTGGTCCCCGTGTGTTAACGCTATGGTATATTTGGCCCCTGAGTGATAACGCTATGGTATATGTGCTCCTCGTGTGTTGACGCTATGGTATATGTGGTCCCCGTGTGTTGACGCTATAGTATATTTTGTCCCCTTGTGTTGACGCTATGGTATATGTGCTCCTCGTGTGTTAACGCTACGGTATATGTGGTCCCCGTGTGTTGACGCTATGGTATATGTGGTCCCCGTGTGTTGACGCTATGGTATATGTGCTCCTCGTGTGTTGACGCTATGGTATATTTAGTCCCCGTGTGTTGACGCTATGGTATATGTGGTCCCCGTGTGTTGACGCTATAGTATATGTACATGTGGTCCCCTTGTTTTGTCTCTATGGTATATTTAGTCCCTGAATATGAACACTGCTATATTTTGTCCCTGTGTATTGACAATATGGTACCTGTGTATTTTATTTATATACGGTTGTCAATTTTTTAATTTGATCAGACATACGTAGGCTGTTATCTATGTATTGTTCTTGTTATTTTGCATTGATATTGATTTGTTTTGTCTTGTCTGTCGACGCTTCGTTATGATGCTGTGATATTGTTTATTTTGTATTGATGCTGGGCTATATTCGGTCCCCGTGCGTTGACGCTATGGTATATTTGGTCCACGTGTGTTGACGCTATAGTATATTTGGTCCCCGTGTGTTGACGCTATGGTATATGTGGTCCCCGTGCGTTGACGCTATGGTATATTTGGTCCACGTGTGTTGACGCTATAGTATATTTTGTCCCCGTGTGTTGACACTATGGTATATGTGGTCCCCGTGTGTTGACGCTATGGTATATGTGGTCCCCATGTGTTGACGGTATGGTATATGTGCTCCTCGTGTGTTGACGCTATGGTATATTTGGTCCCCGTGTGTTGACGCTATGGTATATTTGGTCCCCGTGTGTTGACGCTATGGTATAATTGGTCCCCGTGTGTTGACGCTATGGTATATGTGGTCCCCGTGTGTTGACGCTATGGTATATGTGGTCCCCGTGTGTTGACGCTATGGTATATGTGGTCCCCATGTGTTGACGCTATGGTATATGTGGTCCCCATGTGTTGACGCTATGGTATATGCGCTCCTCGTGTGTTGACGCTATGGTATATGTGCTCCTCGTGTGTTGACGCTATGGTATATGTGCTCCTCGTGTGTTGATGCTATGGTATATTTGGTCTTGGTTCGTTGATGCTATGGTAGATTTGGTCTTGGTTCGTTGACGCTATGGTATATTTGGTCCCGGTTCGTTGACGCTATGGTATATCTGGTCCCGGTTCGTTGACGCTATGGTATATTTAGTCCCCGTGTGTTAACGCTATGGTATATTTGGCCCCTGAGTGATAACGCTATGGTATATGTGCTCCTCGTGTGTTGACGCTATGGTATATGTGGTCCCCGTGTGTTGACGCTATGGTATATGTGGTCCCCGTGTGTTGACGCTATGGTATATGTGGTCCCCGTGTGTTGACGCTATGGTATATGTGGTCCCCATGTGTTGACGCTATGGTATATGTGGTCCCCATGTGTTGACGCTATGGTATATGCGCTCCTCGTGTGTTGACGCTATGGTATATGTGCTCCTCGTGTGTTGACGCTATGGTATATGTGCTCCTCGTGTGTTGATGCTATGGTATATTTGGTCTTGGTTCGTTGATGCTATGGTAGATTTGGTCTTGGTTCGTTGACGCTATGGTATATTTGGTCCCGGTTCGTTGACGCTATGGTATATCTGGTCCCGGTTCGTTGACGCTATGGTATATTTAGTCCCCGTGTGTTAACGCTATGGTATATTTGGCCCCTGAGTGATAACGCTATGGTATATGTGCTCCTCGTGTGTTGACGCTATGGTATATGTGGTCCCCGTGTGTTGACGCTATAGTATATGTACATGTGGTCCCCTTGTTTTGTCTCTATGGTATATTTAGTCCCTGAATATGAACACTGCTATATTTTGTCCCTGTGTATTGACAATATGGTACCTGTGTATTTTATTTATATAGGGTTGTCATTTTTTTTAATTTGATCAGACATATTAGGCTGTTATCTATGTATTGTTCTTGCTGCCTTCAGTGGTTTTGGTCAGATGGGTGTAACGCGAAGTGAGTGTTACCAGTGTGGACTCTCGCCGTATCCGTCCACCATCCGCCCACCAAACCGACGACGGACACCAAAGTCCAAGCTAAAACATAAATGTGACGCACCAGATTGTCCAGGATGTGGCCACTCCGGAAACGGTATGACTTTTGTATACGTGATGATTTGTGATAGTTTGTAAGAAATATGATTTTTTTGTTTTATGACTATTATAAAAAGAAGCTTTACAACTAGTAACTTAACCAAGAGACTTTTATAAATAAACTGACAGGAGTAGGGAACCGTGGGTCGTGATTAAATAGATGTGCGTATGTATTATTCGTGAGGCTACATCATTACATTTATCTTTAAGCTTGTTTAAGTTTGTGTATTAAAGAAGAGAAAAGAGCATTCCGTGGGCGCCAAAATCCTTCTGGATCACTTATTTTTATAGAAACATATTCAGTTCCTGTGTAAATTTATGTTATTTGTATAAGTTACAAAAATAAAATGTAAAATATTGGTAATAAAAAAAAAAGTTCTAAGGCAGGCATACATTCGCGTAGACACGTAGACACGTAGTTTGTAATATGGTGACCAGGAAAAGCAACTGAGGTCCAAGCGTTGACGTTTAGACACCATTATGGAAACTCGTTATTACACTGTTCCTATGTTTGATTAATTGTTTACTTGCGATGAGTTACACATTGTTTCAGGATAAATATAAATGAACTACAATACTTTTTAAATAATCCTCCAAAATAAGCGTTCATTTTGTGTATAAGTCTGTCTGCGGAGATGTCAATGTATTTGGAGGTTGGTGGTTGTTGCGAGTGTCTGTCGACGGATACGTCAATGTATTTGGAGATCGGTGTTTTGTTTTGAGTGTCTGTCGGCTGAGATGTCAATGTATTTGGAGATCGGTGTTCTGTTGTGAGTGTCTGTCGGCGGAGCTGTCAATGTATTTGGAGATCGGTGTTTTGTTGTAAGTGTCTGTCGGCGGAGATGTCAATGTATTTGGAGATCGTTGTTTTGTTGTGAATGTCTGTCGGCGGAGATGTGAATGTATTTGGAGATCGTTGTTTTGTTGTAAGTGTCTGTCGGCGGAGATGTGAATGTATTTGGAGATCGGTGTTTTGATGTGAGTTTCTGTCGGCGGAGATGTCAATGTATTTGGAGATCGGTGTTTTGTTGTAAGTGTCTGACGGCGGAGATGTCAATGTATTTGGAGATCGGTGTTTTTTTGTTAGTGTCTGACGGCGGAGATGTCAATGTATTTGAAGATCAGTGTTTTGTTGTGAGTGTCTGTCGGCTGAGATGTCAATGTATTTTGAGATCGGTTGTTTTGTTAGTTTCTGTCAGTGAAGACGTATTGTATTTGAAGATCGGTGTTTTGTTGTAAGTGTCTGTCGGCGGGGATGTCAATGTGTTTGGAGATCGTTGTTTTGTAGTAAGATTCTGTCGGCGGGGATGTCAATGTATTTGGAGATCGCTGTTTTGTTGTGAGTGTCTGTCGGCGGAGATGTCAATGTATTTGAAGATCAGTGTTTTGTTGTAAGTGTCTGACGGCGGAGATGTCGATGTATTTGGAGATCGGTGTTTTGTTTTGAGTGTCTGTCGGCGGAGATGTCAATGTATTTGCAGATCGGTGTTTTGTTGTAAGCTTCTGTCGGCGGAGACGTCAATGTATTTGAAGATCAGTGTTTTGTTTTGAGTGTCTGTCGGCGGAGATGTCAATGTATTTGGAGATCGGTGTTTTGTTGTGAGTGTGTCGGCGGAGACGTCAATGTATTTGAAGATCGGTGTTTTTGTATGTGTTTTCCGTAGGAGAAAATGTCAATTTTAGTTTGAAGGTCAGTGTCTTTGTCTGTGTTTCCGTCAGCGGGGATTTCGAGTTGTTTGTCTATCAGAGGAGATACCAAGGAGTTCGAGGGTATTGCTGTCCTGTATCTGTAAATTAATAGCAAATCCATTCTATTTTTCAAGGAAAAATGTAAATTGTTGTTTTCTGAAAATAAATTCCATCTCATGCTGTACACTTCCAGATACAGAAGAGGATATGGTGAAGAAATGCGTGCATCCCCGATCTAGAGTGGGGAAGCCTAAAGTGATGTTTTCCAGTGAAGCTCACGTCAGCACTGGCTCCACAATCTCGTCATTCCGAGATCAGGATGAACTTTGTTCAGCCATGTACAACACCTCTCTTTCCTCTATTAGAGAAAACCTGAAGTGAAGGGCACCTGATAGTTGATTCGATAACGGACGTTTATCCTACTTGGTACATGAGTGTTAACATCATTAAGTTGACTACATGTTAACATCATTAAGTTGACTACATGTTAACATCATTAAGGTCACTACATGTTTTAAGATATTTGAGTAATTATCATAAGCTGAAATAAGATCAGTATCATAACTAGTCAATAAAGCTGGCCAACAAATTAGATTGATATCTGGTCATTCAACACCTCATCACTTATAATATCAATATACACGAATGAAAACTAAACAATTGGACGACTTTTGCACCGTATATATTTAGATTATTTCGTTAGATATAAATCTTAATATGAACAAATAATCAAGATCAATTATTGTATGCCTTATTAAAATCATACCTGATGATTTTATGTAAAAATTTGATCATTAAAATGTGTTAGAGACCAATCTTTTGTGGTAACATTGTAATTACAACACACTAAACACTTTGGGTTATGCTTTCCCATATAATTAGGTATATTTCCTCCACGTGTCTTAAATCTTGTGTACATCTTCTATCCTTTTTAACATACAGCGTCCAACAAAACCCTTCTATTTCAGGAGTACGTGAGGTCACCACACCTTAGATTAAAACCACCAACATTCAATCTGTTAACAGCTTTAAAGCGTGATTTTTCAATGAATACCTAATCAATTACGCTAAAGCCTCAATGATTGAACAATGTTAAACGACCAGATAAGTCGTATGGCTGCCTTCCATTACACAAACGGATTCCGCTCGATCCTGGTAATACAATAAGTATTTAAACCCGTATCCTCGGACTGTGGAGCAGGTATAGTGATGTCAGCATCCTATACCCGAATAGGTTAGAAGTTAGCAGCGGGTTACAAATGTAGCTATTGGGGTTGCTAATGCGTTATTCGCGATTGTGACTAACTAATTATAATTCCCTTGAAAAACTTATCTCTTACTACCATCAGGTTAATTATAACACGTTTAAAATTTGAATGACTTAATTTCTGCCAGCAGCGGATTGATGATTCGAATTACTAAACCGTTGCGGTAACTAAACAACTATATTTTCTAAAGCAGACCATAGTCAAGACATTGTGAGTAAATCAATATCATACAAATTGTTATAAATATTGTGGTACATGCATACATATGAATAGTTAAAAATCAGAAACACGTAGAAGCGCTTTCATTTTCAATCCTCAGACCTTGTTACAGAGTCGGTATTGACACCCCATCCCGAATTGTGCAGCTAAAGGTTAACATTGCATAGATTAAAAACAAGTAATATTTGTACATGATATTTATTTATTGTTCGTGAAGTACTCAAATTTAGGTAAATGCTGTTTGTTATTGTTGTTGTTGTTTTATTCGTATGACAGTTGATCGTTTATATGACATTTAAGTTGTCTTTAAAAATGTAAAATATCATTTAAAATGTCAGTACGTTTATATAATTATAACATCTATTCACGGCATAAACAAATAACCCACATTTGAATATAGATACAAAATTTCGATTATAGTACATGCAGTATACGTGTATTCGTGTAACGATATAATTTTAAGGCCCGGAACATATAAATAACACAAGATTACAGTCATAGCAATGCTATTTCCGGTAATCTCTCTGGCTGAATGTGAAATTGTATTCTATATACACAAGTCCAAGGAGTTCCGAATATTGAAATTATTTCTTAAGTCAGTTCGGTTGATTCAGTTTGAAATGTATGAAACGACATCTATAGTAACGGTTTTCACTGTAAATTCTCTCTAATATTGTATACATATTTCATCATTTGAGAAGATAACGGAGATAAAATGGTGCCACATGCCTCGCCAGAGGCTAAGATTGGCCGGATCGTTGTCCATGGATATGAATAGGCGTGTGATAAGATCAACCAACTAGTGACCCGGAAGAGTGACCCCTGATTAATTTTGTCATTACAAAATGAATGATTTTATTGTTACAGTTAAGTTCTGATTAGATCTTTTTATAACAATAGTTAAAAATGTTAACTGTAACAATTACCGTACCATAATGGCGGACTGTTCGGCATGTTAGCAACTAAGCATGTAGTAATAGTGCAACGTACACGTACACGTACCTCTCAAGTATCACTGAATTTAAAACTAGAAGTGTCCTCCACATACAACCTTGATGTACATTCACAACTTTCGCGGATGGGAGGCGGTCGTACACAACATTTGCGTATAGGAGGCGGTCGTACACAACCTTTGTTTATATAGGAGGCGGTCGTACACAACCTTTGTTTATATAGGAGGCGGTCGTACACAGCATTTGTTTATATAGGAGGCGGTCGTACACAACCTTTGTGTATATAGGAGGCGGTCGTACACAACCTTTGTTTATATACGAGGCAGTCATACTCAACCTTTGTTTGTATATAAAGGAGGCGGTCATACACAACCTAGGTGTAGAGGAGGTGGTCATACACAACCTATGTGTAGTGGATGCGGTCATATACAACCTAGGTGTAGAGGGGGTGATCATACACAACCTAGGTGTAGAGGAGGTAATCATACACAACCTAGGTGTTGAGGAGGTGATCATACACAACCTAGGTGTAGAGGAGGTGATCATACACAACCTAGGTGTAGAGGAGGCGGTGATACACAACCTAGGTGTAGAGGAGGTGGTCATACACAACCTAGGTGTAGAGGAGGGGATCATACACAACCTAGGTGTAGAGGAGGTGATCATACACAACCTAGGTGTAGAGGAGGTGGTCATACACAAACAGGCAGATCAAACTATACATTTACTACATTTCTTTCATTATAGTGTATTTACTTTTTGTTTTCAGAATAAATGCGACAATGTTTGTATGATTAAGTCCAATACATTAGAATTCCACACCCTTCTGTATCCATGGAGTCGTTGAGACATTTGAGTACCTATAGTTTGTGCTATAAATGTAGTGTTATCACCTGGCATGATCAGTTCGATTTCATGCCTAAATTAACAGCTGACATTTGCGCCTATAGGCTTGACGTTGAACTGGACTACTGACCACCATATGCCACACTACAGGGTGAGGTGAGAGTCTAGATTGTCCACCCTCAGACGACAAAAACCCGGTCATGGAAACCGAGACATGGATCTTTCTTTTGAATCTGTGGGTGAAAGTACAAACGGAAACGACTTCTTTTTTGGAATTAACGACGATATGTTCATGCAAGAGGAGACGGACTACTCCAGACAGAAAATAGTTGACGTCGACGTGTTTCAGATCCAGGTAAATGTTAACACTATTAGCTAGTTCCCGTAGATAGTAAGGTTAGGTGTGCTGCAATACTGTTATAGTCTTCAGTACAGGTTATTTGAGCAATCAGCTGTAAACAGGAGGCAGGCCTACTGGTAAAACCGAACTGTAACATGGGCCAAACACTAACTAAATGGTCCGCGATAGCACGGTAGATTTAATGTAACCTTTACTCAAACACAATTCACAGGTATAAATTGTAAGGTACCATATACCCTTAACCCTAACGCTTATCACATGTATAATGTGTGAAGTAGCATAAAACCATCTCTCTAACACAAATCACAGGTCTAATGTGTGAAATAGCATATAACTTTAACTCTAACACAAATCACAGGCATCGTGTGTTAGATAGCTTATAACCTTAACTCTAACACAAATCAAAGGCATAGTGTGTTAGATAGCTCATAACCTTAACTCTAACACAAATCAAAGGCATCGCGTGTTAGATAGCTTATAACCTTAACTCTAACACAAATCAAAGGCATCGTGTGTTTGATAGCTTATAACCTTAACTCTAACACAAATCAAAGGCATAGTGTGTTAGATAGCTTATAATCTTAACTCTAACACAAATCAAAGGCATAGTGTGTTAGATAGCGTATAACCTTAACTCTAACACAAATCAAAGGCATAGTGTGTTAGATAGCTTATAACCTTAACTCTAACACAAATCAAAGGAATAGTGTGTTAGATAGCTTTTAGACTTAAACTTGTATCATAAAGTTTGACATCACTAGTCATTAAGTCAGTAAAATATAAACAAAATGTTAAATGTTTATTAGCTGTAACTGATTGTTTTACATTTGATGGTGAATCACTGAAAAGCAGTTCTGTCCTGTCAAATAGACCCATCTGCTTTATATTTTAACTTATAGCATACAAGGCGTTTAATAAAATGACTGTATTTGACTATCCCGTCTCATGTTCATTGTATGACTATTTATGGCAAGCTTGTCTAATATCAATACATATTTTCATAGTTCTTCTCGTTTGTGCCATCTTCATGGCGAAGAAAGTGTGTCACAAGTACGGGCGGATCAGAAGCTGCAACATCTATGATGTACGCCACATGGGAGATAACTCGACCTATCTGCTATGACTACCAATTACACGTATGCATGTGTAACACTAAATAATACTGGGTATGCAATATACGTCTAGTACCAAGAATTAAATAGAATTATGTGAACTGAAAAAATATCTTAGTTATGCAAAAAATAAGAAAATTTTATTAACATATTCTGAGTCAGACATTCTTGGAATAAGTCTTCTAAAAGTGACAGAAATCTATGTACAGAGAGTAATATGCGTTTGTTTGGTTTTGTTTTTGTTTTGTTTAATGTCCTATTAGTTTAAATCATATTTTATTCATATCAATAAACATGTACATTTACATAGACATTTCATTCTGATGATTGGGAAACAAGTACTGTTGTACTGGGAGAACGCTCAACCATCAAGCCAAAAGTGAGCTAATGCCAAGCAAGGCGATAGGATATACTACATAATAATATCATTCTATGATAAAACTGGACGCAGACAAAAGCCTATATATCCCAGATCAAATGTATGGTCATCCTCTAGCTGGCTGACACCCCGACACCACAGTGGATAAGTTCATTATTGTCAAGTTCGTGATTATAAAATGTGACATGTGATTTGGCAGGGACTTCCAATGGTTGACCACTCTTTCTTTAAAGGAATACTTTCTTAAGCTCAATTTAGACATTCTTTTTTCAAGTCCAAGACTATGACCACTTGCTCGTCTGTTCCCGTTTATATTTAAAAAGTCTTCTGTTACAGAAGTGTCATAGTACAATGTATCCATGTATTGGCTTAGACACCTGTTCCGTATCTACTCGTAATCTTCCGTGTTTTAAAGTTGGTAATTTCAAAATCCTTAATCTGTGTCCTTAATCTTAAGTCATCATTCCTGGTATCTGTTTAGTGGTTATCCTTTGTACACTTTCAATTTCGTTGATGTCCTTTTGTAGATATGGACTCCATATGCTTGCTCCGTATTCCAGATGTGGTCTCACGAGTGCTTTATACAGCAGACAAAGCGATGACGCGTCTAAATATGTATACGTTCTTCTAATTGTTCCCATAATCCTGTTTCCTTGTATACCGATTCGTGTATATGA